ACGGCACCGATTTCCATGGCATCTCTCAATCATGTGATGTTGTTTGAGTGTGTGTTCTTGTATGCAAACTACCAAGGCAGAGGTTTTATTTATAATAAAATTGGTGCAAAATGTCCAATTTGCCCATTGATTGGAAATGGATTGGATATTTTGGATTTCGTTTGAACTTAATGAATAGTAAATGATTAGAGGCCTTAATTATGCAATTAATCATGATCTAGTTAGGCTTTAGTTAGGATGAAACTTGAGGTGGAAATAAGGTTCCATGTGTTTGGGGTGTACTAGAACACTTTTTCCATGAATTTATGGATTTTATTTGAAAAAGATGTGTGCATTTCCTTTCCTTATGGTAGCCAGCCAAAGATGATGATTTAGGAAGATTTAATAAGGTTCCATGTAATGTTACGATTATAAGAAAATTAAAATTTATTTACTTACTGTGATGCCCCAATTTTTACTCTAAGGGTTAGGGTAACGTCGCTAAAGAGTCTTTTGGTCAATAGCCAAGCAAGATCCCAGGAAGGTCAGAGGAGTCAATAGAGTCTCCCTTCTAAGTCCAACCACCTTAGATAGCAAGCTATCTTTTTGACAGATCTTAGGAGGTATTAACACAAGGTCTCATAAGTAACACGGAGATAGACATAGAATTACAAAAGTAAATAATAATTACAATGTTTCAAATCTTAAATGACAAAACGAGTTCCATTACTATTACAATCCAAAAAAATAAAAAATAAAAGCACGAATAGACTCATAAGCAAACTAACTTCTAACTTTCTCTAAAAAAGGCACAAGCCTTCAAATGTCGCTGCCTCTTCGTCGACCTCGTATGTTTCTTCGATACCTGGCATGAAACGCCATGAGTTTTGAATGCTCAGTAAATGCACACACATCCGTTCCTTTTTCCTAATCTAATACACAATAGTAAGTACAATAATAGGGGAAAGAAACATGATATTCAAATAAATAACAAGGGTTACAAGGTTAGTTGCTAGCAGTCTGGAAATCCCCTAAAAAGATTTCATCATCCTAACCACAAGAATCATACGCGAATTATTCGGTATGCTATCTTTTTTGTTGCTTTGCAGACCTTACCCTCGGATGTCTACTAATGATTACATACCACGTAGTGCCAACCGATGACTTCAAAAAAGATGGTAAAATAGGGTCTTACCCATTCCCTCCTCACACCAAACCACCTAGGGTCTGAATACAACCGCTCCGTTTAAGGGTTCCGGAACAACCACTTGCGCAAAATTTTAACTTTCAAAAGGGAACACATCCCGCTAATCAATTCAATTTGAACATAACTTTATCTCATAACAATACTCATGTGATTGAAACCCCATTAGCCACCCTATTGAGTTTTCCATTTAGATTAATATTTTAAGTTAGTTAATATAAACAAATAAAAAAAATAAATTTGCATAAATATGAGTATCAACAAAGAAATAAAATAAAAGGTATATAACCATGACACATGTAATATAATATCAAGACATGATTATATACAAATAAACATATTTATGAAAACAAGAGTATAAAACACCAATGTAAAACTAAATTTTCAGATTCAGTACTATTTAAAGATCAAAATCAAAAGGATCATTTTAGATTTTTAACGAGCCTGTAAATTCAAAATCATCTATTTAAAAATAAAAATCAATCGTTCAAATTTATTTTACTCATAAATCTCACATTTTATCAATTTAATTTATAGCACGCATATCCTTATGGACCTAGTTTTTTTGTTTTGTTAATTTAATTCATGTGAGAACCACAATTGAATGGCTAAAATTGCTTTGTCACATGGCAACTTTAACAGAACTCCCAAATCCTTCGCCCTCAAGTCATGTTAGGACTGGTTGGTTCCTTAGCTAATACACCAAGCCATGCCATGCCATGCCCGTCTGCCTTTCCTTCGCTAACGTTAGCCCACCCTCTGGTCCAGTCTCGGTCCCACCTAGCCTTTTCAAATCCTTCACGATAGCTTGTCGAGGGTGCTTTTTTGCCGACCTTTCTCTACAACCCCAGTGAAATGCCAATACATTCATTAAATTTAAATTTAAATTTGGTTCGGATGTTATAAATAAATGTATTTTTTAATTTTTTATAAAAAAATATGTAGAAAATTAAAAATAATAGACAAAAAAATAGAAGGATGTTGATAAATATTGATTAATGTAACCTAAATAAGTGTATGTATATAAAAAAATAAATAATTTTTTAGTACATACCAAATACTTAGAGTAATGTTAGGGACTCTAAATAATCTATAGCCTCCGTTTGGGAAGTGAGTTGGCTTTTTGACCTTTTTGACTATATGAGCCTGGGCTCAAAAGCTTAGTTTGGGAAGGGCTTTTGGCTTTTTGGCTTTTTTGATTTTTTTGTGAGAGAAGAGTGTAATGATTATGGGGTTAGATGGGATGTTTTGTCTGTTGTGGCTCATGAGTCTATTCTGTATTTTATGGCTCATTGAGCCAAAAAAGCCCAATGAGCCCTTACCAAACCAACCCTAAATTTTTTATTAAATTTCTTATATGGGTGTGAAATCTATACACATGTGTATTTATATGAGTTTTATACGTATGTAAGAAGTTTGATAAAAAATTTAATAAATTATTTGAGATTCATAACATTTTTCTTAAATTTATATTAATAAGTCTTTTTTCGAGAAAAGACTCCTGCGCGATAAATATTATTATTATTATTATTTATTGTGTTTAGTTTGAATTTTTTGGATTAAATTTTTTGAAAATTGATTTTTTTAGTTTTTGTGTTTTTTTGTTTTTAGTGGATATTTTTTAAATTTTAAATATTTTTTTTTATTTTTTTAGATGTACCTTACTTAGATGTATCTAAAAAGTAAAAAATTTGTGAAAAAATATTTTAAAAAATTAATAAATACATAAAAATACAAAAAATGTACTGAATTCTTATATATATTTTTTATATTTTTGGTATTTAGTGAATTTTTAAAAGATTTTTTTTACAATTTTTTATTTTTTAGGTGTATTTATGTTAGGTGTGTCTAAAAAGTAAAAAAAATGTTTAAAATATTAAAAAAATTCAGTAAAAACAAAAAAACATGAAAAATAAGAAAGTAAAATTTTCTGAAAAGTGTTTTGAAAAACTGGAAACCAAGCAAGGTGATTATTTTTTTTTTTGATGAGCCAAGTTTAGCATAACCTAAATAATACAAAAAGTCACTATCCTATTTAAGTTACATCATCTTATTTAAATCATATCACCTCTCTAACACATCACATCGAATCCAACCCAAACCCAATCCATATTAACCAATAAATCAAAAAATACACTTTTTTAAAACATCCCAAACCAACACTCATTTAAATGAATTCGGACTAATAAATTTCACGCACGATTCATTAATCATAATTTAATTCACTAATAATAATAATAATGGCGTGGTGGCTCCTATTTTGTACTTGTTTCTTCTCTTGGGAATTTATTCGAACACCTTTCCTACACTTCCACTTTCCATCTTACAATCCAAACCCGCTTCTTCTTCCTCTCTCTCTCTCTCCCCCTTTTCATCGAAACCACTTTTCCAAATCAATCCTTGAAACCCATCATCTGCCTTGCTCAATTAAGCCCAGAGCTTCGATCTCCACCTGGAAATGGTTATAATCAAAGAGTTGTATCCTTTTTATTACATAAATTTAGCTGAATTTCTATGTATTTTGTTTACTTGTACATATCTAAATTGGAATCTGGTTGACATTTGTTGAAGATTTCTTTAATTTTCTTTTTCCTGAAACATCATCATCTCTCTCTTTCCTCTCTTTGCTGATCAATTTGGTTGCTTAGAAAAAAACGTTGCAAAATGAGGGAAAACCTAAGAAATTGAATCTTAGTTCTTGTTGTTGTTGTTGTTTTTTCCTCTGTAATTATAATTCAGCTGGGCGTCATATCGCTATTTGGACGGGTTGAATTTCTGATTTTCGTAGCCAAACAACACACCGACACAAAAAATATATATACAAAATAAAAGTTGGGAAGTTTTAATTTTTTCTATTTTTCCCAGAATTTTTTTCTGGAACCAAAGGTGGTTTACCAAAGTTTTTAAGAAGAAAAAAGAAAAAAAAATTGCTTCTGTTGAGAAATAACTATTTGTTAGTTATATTTTAATCCTTTTGAATGACCCTGAATATTAATTTAATTTATTCACTTCTGTTTTTTTGTTTAATGTAGAATTTGACTACAAATATGGTTGTTGTATATACAGTGAACTCTAAAGAACTGTTCACTCAAATTTCCATCACACACAGTATTGGAGTTTTCTTGGAAAATTTTGTGTGTAATTTCCTTAACCTGTGTTTTGTTGATGGGGCTTCTCTAAAGTCGAATTGTAATGCCTTTGTCATTGGAGGAGGTATGGCTTATCAATAATTTCAAAAATTATGGTTTTTTTTAATGATGGGCATGTCTAGATTTTCTTATTTCCTTTCATACCAAAATATGGGTTTGTTTGCTAAATGAAACATTGCTTTTGCAGTATCAGATTGCTCAGATATACATGGTCTTAAAAATGCAGCAACAGAGCAAGACTAGCACTGAAGGGGTTGAAGTTTTGGAGGACAAACTTATTGAAGATGATGTATTTGGAAAGTGTCAGTACTTGTCAAAAATTTACAAACTGCAGAGGTAATTTTGTAGTAAAATTGTGCTTTAGAACTTCTATGTTGGAACATGTTATGTGAGAATGTATGAATGTTGATGGTTTAGCTCTGCAAAAGCGGTTTGTGCAATGGCCATTTTAGTTATGAATTCAGGAAATCTAATAAGTTTAAGATTGTTGTATCTGCTACACTTTTCATCTGGTAAGAATGAGAAAATGTTAGAATTTATCCTCGATTTGGTTAATGTGTACTGAATGACCAGATGTTTTTAAGCCTCATAAGTAGCAACATTTCTTTCCTTCCTTTTAGGCGGTACTATTTTTTCCTTCCAAAAGAGAGAGATTACATAATGCTTGTTTTTGTTCAGTTGTTGTTTTTGAGCAAATAGTAGATCATGGTAACAGAAATGTTGTTCTTTTGTAAGTTTAATTCAAGTTAATTTCCAAGATGGTCAAAATTCACTTCATTTTTCATAGATTCCAGTTACATGGGATTGCTGTTCTGTTTACCTCAGTCATCTCTTTGTATCTCCCTCAAGTAAGGGTAGTGATTCTGCATTAATCTTCTTGTTTTTTTGTATTTTGGTTGCCATTCTGTTTCATTGAATTATATGGTACTACTACTGCCTGATATGTTCATTTGTTCCCCAAAGCTATTTGTGATATTTTGTTTCTTGTGCTAATGCAGCAAAGTTCCTGCTTGGCTTACTGCTTTTGCACGCAAAGATGCTCTTGTCATGCAAGAGGAAGCATGGAATGCATACCCAAGATGCAAATCAGGTTTGTCATGTCCACATGTTTTCTCACTTCACATTATATTTTTCTTCTGGAACTCGTATTGATATATTTATTGGTTGTTATCTGTTCTTGGACGCCATATTATGCAGTAATTAAGGTAATTCTTTTTAGATATTTATTTTTACTTCATGAATATCCCCTTGGAAAGGTTCATGTTAAACAATGTGCTCATTGACTAAATGCAGACCCCATGCTTCAACAAGTTAAGTGTAACTATTGAAACTGTTCACAAACCTGACAATGGGCGATCAGAGAATGTAAGTTGCTTTGACACTTTACCTTATGGTCTTTTATTTAGTTTCAGTTTGATCCATAAAGTTATCTAGTCATTATTAGTCAATGGATTCCACACTGTATTCTCTCTCTCTTACTCTAGAACTGCTCTCTCCTCCACCTGGGGGAGCAGAATTAATTTTTTTCTAACCTCTAATGGAGAATTTCAACTCCTTTTAGGTTCATGGTCTTTGCAAAGAACAACTAGCAGCTAGGGAGGTAGAAGTTATTGACATTGCTTCATCAGCAAGGGACTGTTGGAGTTACATAATTGGAACTAACAATGTAAATCTGTCCAAATTCAAATCAGAAAAGACTGGTCGTGGTCCACTCTCACAGGGGTGGCAGGTTGTCCTTCCATTAATTTGATAGTACTCTAGTTAGTAATTACATTATTGATCTAGCTATTTGCAGAATTTTTATGGAAACTTTCATGTCTTCTTATCATAACTAAATACGTTGGTAGTGTTTTCCTGATAGCTTTACATTGATTATTAACGATGCAACTTGGGGGAATTCTGCTCTAGGCCTAAAATAATTTAGGATGATTTTTTTGAAGCATGATCCTTGTATTTGTTTCAAAAGCTGCAACCCATTGTTATGTGTTTTAATTGACATTATGGTTTAGATTAGATGAAGTATGTTTTTAGACTTTAGAAGATTTGCAGCTATTTATTGCTTAACCAAATATTTTTGCAATGATAAGGAACAAATTATTTCTGAACCTTCCATACCTCGTATTCAATTTATAACATTCTACTTTGAATACAATTCATGGAGAAATTTATGAAAAAACCATGAAGGCAACAGCAAGGTTATTGCTGAATTTAATTTCTTGAATAATCTGGATCGTTTTACATTATCTTCAAGAATCTGGTGTCAAGTACTATTTTCCCCCCTCTCTCTATCCTTATCTGCATGCTGTATTGGTCATGTAATAGAAGTCTTCAACTCTATTGCTCTCTGAAGAACCTTCAGCTTGACAGGTGAGTGCTCAAATTATTGATTGACTCTTAAAGCCCCTATCATAGTTGTTGGTGCAAGCTCGAGGGTCTTTGTACACTGACCACCCGAAAAAAGTTTCTTAATTTAAAAGACTTCTTTTAGTGTGGTTAAGAACTGGCCCGTAACTTGGTTGGACATTTTCCCATTTTAAATCATTAGTGAAAATATGCTCCCTCGGATCAAGTTATTGACATTGCCTTTTCTTTTGCTCAATCTGATTCAGTTATGATTAGGAGAATAAAACCAAGAAAAGAGAAACTAAAAATTTAATATGATAAGAATCGTCTTCCTTCCACAACGATGGGACTCCAACGAAATTCTTTATGGTGGGGAGAGTCCATCCTATACTCTAGAACTATTGTCTCCTCCACCTCCTCACTCTCCCAAAAGGAAAAAAAATTAAAATAAAACCGACACCCCTTTTTTCTTGAATGCAGAGAATTCTCATTGGGCTCTCTTGAAGTTTTCTACTTTAAGGGATCCCCGAGATTTCGCTATTAACTTGCATGTTCCTCCTTTGTTTTTATTGCAGAAGTTTTGTCATTATACTAAGTTTGATTTGTAACATGGGAAGGGAAAAGACAATGCTTGGCAATGGCTTACTTTCTTAAGATCTTTCCTTTCCCTCATGCATTCATATTTCATAGAACCAAGGGTTAGGACAAGTTTTCTTTCTGTAGCAAGGCCTACCTCCTCCTTCCTTCCTTCACTTGTGAGCTTGCTTTCCAATGGTGTGCTATAGAAGTTGCAGCTTGCTCTTTGCTTTGTGGAGAGGAGTGAGAGTGAGAGTGGGTCACAAAGTACTGCACTGCTTAAGCGTGTAGATGATGTGAACTCTCGAGGGGAAGCGGTTGAAAAGCCTTCATGTCCAAATGTCAACAACTCTTCCAAATTCAATCTCCAATGGGCTGCAATCTTCCATGCCTAATTATAGCAATGCCAAACTTTATGCCAATTTTAGCAAAAAGTTTGGCAAGAGCTCTTCTATCTCTCTCATGAATCATGATGGGGCCCACAAATGGTACTTACATTTGAATTTTTTGAAAAAAAAAAAAAAAAAAGAGAAGAAATGGCATTTGTACCATTAGAGCAACATTGTCAAATTATAACATTTTTTTGGCACTGTAGCATGCCAATTTGGCTTTGGCATTACCATTTTGGCAGTAACCATTGAAGATGAACATGTCCAGTGGTGTGCTAAAACATTAGCTAAAGTCAAAATTTGGTAAGACTTCTCCAAAAATCACCTCTAATGGTTTGCTATTCCTCTTGCCAAATTTTGGCAACGCTCTATCTCTCTACCTTTCTTATGATAGGACTCACAAATAGCGTTTCATTCGTCATATTTGGAGAAAAATAGAAGAAATGATATTTGCACCATTAGAGCAATATTGCCAAATTATAGTGTTTTGGCACTATAGCATCCCAAATTTTGACTTTATCATCAAACACTGGAAATGTTCTTAAAAGCAAATAAAGCAACAAACTGTAAAGCAAACATAGAAAAAAAATAAGTTCTTCATCAATTCTTATTTGGTTCTTTAAGAACCTTAAATATAGATCTTCAGGATCTAGTTATGTCATTATTTAATAATTTAACTATACATTTTAATATAATTTTTACCCTTTCTTTGGTCCCTGCTATCTCTTTTCCATCTTTCTTTTTCTTCTTTTCTTTTCATCTCCTTACAGAATTGTGTCCGAAGGGGAAGAACGCTTCTAATTTTATATTTGGAAAAGTAAAGGTGCAATAAATGATACTACTATTTCAACTATTATATTAATTGTGGCCAACATTATTTTATCCACCTTATTTATTGTGGTCAGCCATCATATGTTTCACAACACTTTCCCTTGGATGAACATACACAGAATATGCCTCGTTCAAATCTTGTCAAAGAAAAATCCAGTGGGACAAAAACCTTAGGCGAAGGAAAAAGAGTACATTATTTTTGTGCTCCATGGAGTGATCTTGGATATGTCTAGATTGCCTCGTTAAAACCTTGCTAAGGAAAATCCCATGGAAAAAAAACCTTAGTCAAAGAAAAAGGAGTATAATCTTTAATCTATTAGCTCCCCCTCATGTTGCATAATTGATTTTTGAGTCTATGCATTCTAATGAGATGTACCTGCTTCTTGAATGTTGCCAGAGGTAGTATTTTTGTGAATAAATTTGTTAAATTTTTACTTACTGTATTTATAGAACATTAATATCTCTGCTCTTCTAGAGTTTATGAGTATTAAAGAACTTTGAAAAAATATGCTTAGTTCGATCACCATTGATATAGCCTTCTTTGATTTGTGTGATACATGCAACATTATTTTTAAACAGTATTGTTGGGAGATCTTTGTGTGCAGACATTGCACACTTTTTCCGAATATGTTATATTATAGATATTAACCAAATAAATTCTCTGTTGGCTTCATGGATTGCAAATATTTCAGAGTGGTTTGAAGAAGTAGCATTCAATATTTGCTTCACAAATCGCTAAGAGCTAGATGTTACACCATAGTTAAATGCGTACCTTGTTTGTGATTGGGTTTTGTGTGTGGTCATCCAAGGAGGAATGTTGTGAAACATGTGGTGGCTGACCACAATAAATAAGGTAGTTGGAATAGTGTTGGATCACAATTAATATGGTAGCTAAAATAGTAATATTATTGAAAGGGAAAGGGTCTTGTGGATTGAATTGTAGGATTGAATCAAGGGATTTTACATTCTATTAAAAATAAGATAAAAATACAAATAAGGATGATGCATAAAAAAAAATAAAGTGAAAAGTCACAAGTCCACCGATACTACTTATGATCCTACCTACGATCCCACGCGATCCACTTGTGATCCTGCTATAACATCTATTCTACAACGATTTGGACCGTTTGACGGCAGCGAAGCAGGTTCTGGATAGTCCATTCACTATTCTTCTTTTCTGTCTCTTTGTTCTCTTTTTGACAATTTAGGATTGCAGGATCGTACTATCCTACAATCTGGATTGTAATTTTGATAACCATTGCTGCCATATCTCCTACCAAAATTTGGCAATGCTAACTCTTAAATCTTGAGCCAGTTTTGGCACAAAAGTTGGCAATTGTCAAACTTGCCACATCATCGAAGCATGTCCAATGGAAGTTGCTAAATGGCATGCAAAAGCCATCTTTTGGCTTTCCTAATCAAATGGTGCAATTCCATTTTTTGGGCACAATTGTCATTTTCTTTCCAACTACCATTCTCCAACCATCATTCTTTATAAATTAGAATAAAGAATGGTGGTTGAAAAGAGATAATGGTGGTTGTGCCAAAAAATGTCATTTACACAATTAGAGTATAAATGCCAAAAAATGGCTTTGGCATGGCCATTTTAGCAACGTCCATTGGAGTTGCTTTCATTAGTTCACCTGCTTTCCCTTCTCTATGAAGCACTATTTTCTAATTGCAATCCCTGTACCTCCTAATCCATCATAAGAGAGGCTTGAACAAGAAAATAATTAAACAACATTTAATCACTGAACCATGTAATAAAGGTTGTATATAAACATACCTTATTTAACCCACGTGAGTTGCACTTGCATTGCATAATTGCATATAAGCGGATTGCAGATATACTGAATGTTTCTTTACTTGCAGAGATGCACCCTTTTGTTTACATTCTCTTTAATCATCACACAAATTTGACTTGAGATTTATTACTTATCAAATACAAAAAATGAATTTGAGATTTATTTAGACCTTTTATGTTGATGATACTTTCAGGATCAGCATAATCCAGTTATGACGGCGTACAAGTTGGTGATAATAGATCTCCATATTGGGGCTTTGGTAATAGACTTGAACAAACTCTGCTTGCGGTATTATCTCTTGAACTTAAAGTAAATCTAGGGATTTTTGACTTCAATGCAGAATCTCTGTTGTAATAGCAAATATCCATGTATTTACTAAAAATATAGCTGTGTATTCCAATAATCCATTATATATTACTTGAATGAAAAATATGACTCCTCTAAAGTACATCAACATTTCAAAAACTCTCAGATTCTATAGTTGTTGAGTCCTATTCGCAATAAACTAACACAAAATAAGAAACATCAGCTTTAGTTGTTCACTGTTTTATTTCCCACGTTTTGGGTGGAGTATATATATGTGATTATGCTTTGTTTTGGATAAGTAAATGGAAAATGGAAAAACCTTTCTGATATTGTTTTGTACTTTCTCATAGGGTGAAAGGGCACTTTTTCTTGAAAGTCACCATAATTGTTTCATTTGGATAGATGAATGGTTTGGGATGACAGAGGAAGCAATACGTGAGTTTGAACGAGGGAGTTATTCCTTATTGAATGAGGTAATGAACTTCTAAACTTCAAAAACACAATGATTACAAATTTGATAGGACTAATGATTACTCCACAATTTCAATTTTAGATCGTGTGATACATAGTATATATTTTAAACAAATCCTAATGGCTTCCCTCAAATAAAACATGTTTATTATATTATTGGGGCATGTTTCATGGTTTGGTGTTAATTATTCTATCTAAGGATACGAAGTAGACCATTTGTTGTTCTTTGAAATCAGAACCTCTCTCTCTCTCTCTCTCTCACACACACACACACACGCGCGCACGCACGCACTCTTCTGGGATCTGGTGCATTAGTTATAAACCCACTAGCAAATTGTCCACTCTTTTGTTTTCTCTTTCGGTGGTGTAACATGCACCAATTAGTGTACTAACTAGCGTACCAACACTAGTTATGACATTATTATTGACCCCATTCATTAATCACATTACAAATACCAAACACCTCTTAAATTATGCCCAATTGGTACACTAGTTAGTGCACTAATTGGTGCATATAGCATTATTCTCTCTTTTCCCCTTTATGTTTTTAGATGAATCTTAGTTTGTTAACGACAAGCAATGTGATGTGACATTGTGAACATTGCTTCTCTTGGATAAAGAACTTGCCAAAATTAAGCAGTGCCGTGATTTTTACGTAACTGACTTACTGAGTTGCCCTATTGGCCTAAAATTTGGGTTTCCAAGGTTGGTTAGTCTAGTTATACCTTAAGTATGCAAATGCATTCTATTTTTGTCCTACATATGAATCTCCTATTGGATCAGATAAGCATTCTATTTGAAAATTAGAACTTGAACTTGCCATAAACCCTGGTGCAATCAGGAAAGGACTAAATGATACAATTTTGTGGGGTTTTGTTCTATCTAACTATAATTGATCCCACTTCATGGATTTTGCTCAAGAGGAATTTATATCATCCCGAGTTCAGGGCATTTTAAGGCACATACCTTCTTTTGTGAAACCACGTACAAAATCAGATTTTGTCATAGGAAAGCGTTTTTAAAGATTGTTATTCGTTATCTTGGTAGTGCCAATATTTATTGTAGATACTATGGTATGCCCTATTTAAATTAGTAACATGAAAAGCAGACTAATTTTGTTTAGTGTTTAATGCATCCCAGAATAGAACAATGGTCATGACATGCCTTTAGTAGCATAATTAATTTCTCAGTAACGCTTTATCGTATCTAGGCCACATATCTGGGAAAATTCTTCAATATTTTGAAATAGACCACAGGTGAGCTGTGGCATATATTCTTGTTACTTGAAGACAACCTTGAATAGATCTAGTTTTTTGAATTGGATACTTTGATGGCTATACTAGAAATGTATCAATCTGCTTTATCTTCATTTATTTATTTTTCTGAATTAATAATTGAAGACTGAATAGTGATCTTTGAAACAGAAACTTGACATGCAAACCTGGCCACCAAGCAAGGAGGAATCGGATGGAAAATGAAGATGTTCACTTGACAGTGAGGAAATCTACAGCAGGTCCCAATTTGAATATGAGAAATATGGGATTTGTTGTGCTACACCAGAAGTAAATTATAGTATTTCTGGTGACACGCATGGTGATGAAAATCCATTGGAAAAGGAGATTGTAAACTTTTACAAAATGTCAAATTGTTTCTGAATATTCATTTCATGTAAAAGTTTGTTATCTCCAAAAAAAAAGTAACATTATGAATTAAGAAAATATTCGTCATTTTATAATCTAATTTCGTCGAGTTATAATGTAATTGCAATTGCATTATTGAGATGTCATTGTTCTTTTCTTTTCTCTCCTTTTTTTTTTTGTTTTTTTTGTTTTTTGTTTTTTCAGTTTTCTGGGAGGGGGATGGGTGGTAATGTGTATCAGTTGCATCATTGTGCATGTTTTTTTCTAATCAGATCAGATCAGGGTTTTCTCACACAGCTTATGTCAACTTTTATTTCTCCTTTATGATTCGGAAAATTAAATATTTTCATATCAATCATTTAATTTTGTTAATGTTAAAAATAAAAAAATTACAGATTACAAATAAATGGAATGTAGGCACCAACAAAATGATAATTACAAAACAGTGGAAAATTTTCTGCCATCGCAATAGGGTGAGAACCAATGTTTTAAAAACCGGACTGGTGAACGAACCGAAAAAAGGATCGGGTGGACGGGTCACCAGTTCATCCGTCGGGTTGAATCGGAATTGAACCGTGACGTAATAAATATATTAAAATTATATTTAAATAAAAATATAAGTAATAAGATTATAAATTAAAAATATTAAAAATATTAAATTATCTTAAATATTTGTCTTAATATTTTTTTTACTGAAAAATATAATAATATATTTTGAAATATTATTAATTTCAATTTTGGAAGATGAAATCAAATATTTAATATTCCCTCCATATGATTTTAATTCAAATAATTTGATTGAAA